TGGATGGAGCTCTGAAGAATCGGAGGCAGGGGGTTGGGGTGGGGAGGGTAGAAGGGAACATTTCGTCTGAGATGTGAAGGATGAAGAGGTGCACCAGCCTTGCAAAGAGGTAAAGAGCGGAGCTGCCTAGCAATGTGGACAGCATATGCAAAGGGCCTAGGGCAGAAATGAGTCTGAACATTGAGGAGCCAGAGAGGCAGCTGATAGGGCTTAAGTTGGGTGCCCAAGACTTGGATGCAGTGGGAGGGACTTGTGGATTTGAGGTTTGCTCCCCGATGTAGCCTCTTAGTTCGTTTCTCTTGGAAAGCTTTCAGAGAGGATGGGGAGGTGAAATGACTTTACCTTCTAGAAGGGTGGTAGTAAGGATAACCGGAGACCTGGCCCTCTCCAGGCCCCTGGAAGAGACCCCCCACTCCCCAGGATGAAGTCCATCCTGGCTTCTCCGAGGTTTGTTTTCTTGTCCCAAAGGTGGCCCAGCTGTGATGTCATGATGATGGCCTTAAGGACCGTGCCTGGAGCGCACCTCTTTTCTTCCCCAAAGTGGACAGCTGACAGCGAGCTGCCCAGGAGAGGTGCCAGGAAACAGTCCCCCTAAACGCGCCTGCTCCTCGAGGGTTCAGCTGGTAGCTGCGGGGAGAGCCCTGGCTTCACAGCCTGTACCCCTGAGACCTGCTGCATCCCTGTGTCTGACCTCGCTCTCCCACCTGAGCAGGCCGGCCTGCGAGCACCCACCCCAGCAGTGCCTTCCGAGCTGAGGCGAGGATGTGCCATTCAGGTCTGGTCCAATTGAATTTGAAGTGCAGGATGGGAGTTCCTCTTTCCTCTTGTTTCTTGTCAGCAGTCAGGACGCTTGGCTAAGGCTCCTGTTTTTCCCCTCAGCTTAGTTCTTGCCCAGGATCATGGTGTCTGGCAGCCAGCCAGGCCTCAGGAACCACAAAACAGCCCGGCTGTGGGATGGGGGGTGGGGAGACGGAGGGAGGCGAGTGGGTGCCACGAGGCATAGAATATAAGGTATTATTTGTCACCAGAGGGCGGGACTGTGGGGGCCAGGCCACGGCAGTGGGCACTGGTGCTTTTTGCGATCTGGTGTGGGGTCATCCTCACCCAGCCACTCACTGAGAGGGCTCGGGGGTATTAAACCCTGCTTAGAGCTTTCCCTGTAGAAGAGCCTCAGCATGGACATTCCCGAAGCTTCCTCGTGCTCCCACCCCTCTGTGTACCTGGAGTCTCCCAGAAATTTCATGAAAGCGCAGAGTCTGCCTCGGGAAAGGGTTGGTGAATCGCATTTGTGGGAGAGCTGATGTTCCTGAACACTGTTGCCCTCAGGACCACGGTTTGAGAGTCCGGTGCCGAGTGTCTCCTCACCTGCATTGGCGGCTATGTCCTCTCTGCCTTCCTTGCTGTCCTTCCTGTGCCCACACCCAGGCCAGCCTCAGCACTGTCATCCTGTGGGCTGGATGGTGCTTTGTGGTCAGACTGCCCTTTGCATTGTGAGATATATGCGGCACCCCTGGCCACCACCTGCTGGATGCCAGTGAAAGCCCCACCCCCATCCTATTCACAGCAGTAGAAACATCTTCCCTCAGGCGTGGCTGTGCCTCGACTTCCTTGGGCAGCTGGGCTCCTTGGGCAGCTGGGCTCCCAGCTGTTCTGCCCCCGCCCCATCCCCGGCCCCCATACATCTGGCTGCTTGTTTCTGAGGGGTGTCAGGATGGGATTGTTCACTCCTTATTGGGGAACACACCCCAGATGGGCCCTGGGGCTCATCACCCCACTGCTAATCCTCAGGAAGCCCCCCTGGCTCCCTCGCTCCAGCCCCTGTGTGGCAGGGTCAGCAGGCGCCCTTGTAGGGTGTGCCTACCGGCCTCTGGATGGCCCAGCTCCTCCTGTTTTTGCCCCCACCCGTCCTTCTGCTGACTTTGAGTGTTTCTCAGACTACTTGCTGGTTTTGAACATTCTTTTCACTGAGGTTGGGAGTAGGGGTGGAGGGGTGCTGGAATTGCTTGGGGACTAATCCTGGTTCTGATCTCAGGGATCACTCCTGGTGCTGCTGGGGTGACCATATGTGGTACCGGGGATCAAACATGTTGGCTACCATTGCAAGGCAAGTGCCTTCCCCATTGCGTGCTCTCTCTGGCCCAGAGACTTTTTCGGGATCAGGAACCACATTCTGTGGGCTTCAGGGGTTACTCCGGGCACAGTGCCGGGCTCGACAGTGCTCAGGGGACTAGGCAGTGCAGGAGATCCAGCCTGTGTCTCCCACAAGCAAAGCACGTGCTTGTCAGCCCTTTGTGTTGTCTCTGACTCATGGACATTTGTTATCTGGACCTGGGCAGACATGACCAGGGTCACCACAGGCTGGGTAGTGATAGAACCTCGTGGAGTAGGGTGTCTCTTTCATGCCTGGTGGGTGATGGGGACTTGTTAAGTAAACCTCCAGGCCTCCCTCCTTCATTCTCTTAGTATCTCTTCGGCAACTTGGGGTTGGCAGTTTTTTTATCATTATTATTATTATTATTACTATTATTATTTTATAGCAGAGCGGGTAGGGCGTTTGCCTTCCACACCGCTGACCCAGGTTCGATTCCTTCGCCCCTCTCGGAGAGCCCGGCAAGATACCGAGAGTATCTCGCCTACACGGCAAAGCCTGGCAAGCTACCCATGATGTATTTGATATGCTAAAAACAGTAACAGTAAGTCTCACAATTTGTTGTGAAATGTTACTGGTACCCGCTCGAGCAAATCGATGAACAACGGGAAGACAGTGCTACAGTGCTATTTTATATTTTATTTAGGATTCTTTTTGCTTTTTGGGTCACACTCAGCAATGCTCAAGGGTTGCTCCTTACTCTGCACTCGCGAGTGACTCCTAGTGGTGCTAGGGGGACCATGTGGGATGCTGGGGATCAAACCCGGGTTGGCCACATGCAAGGCAAACGCCCTACCCACTGTACTATCACTCTGGGCCCCCCACCCCCGAGTTTGAGTCTTGAGGCGAGTTTCTCAGGCTCACTTGTGACCCGAGTTCCAGCAGCATCGAGCTTGATCAGTGCGGGCTATTTCCAGTCAGCAGGGGAGGGAGGAGAAGAGCCCTGGGGTAAGGCACCCAACACCTCCTCAGACTGCTTCTTGTCCAGACTGCGGGACTTTGAGTGAGTACTCACTCATTCTCCTGGATATGGCTGCCAGCCCCTGCTTTATGTGGGGTCTTGTGAGGGCCAGGAGTTCTCTGAACAAAGTCCTTCAGGCAGCGGCAGACGCTGAGATGTGCACCCCAACTGTACCCCCTTGACCCGTCCTTGAAGATGGTGCAAGTATGGACCATGGATACTTTCAGAGTTGGGGCAGGGTGGATGTCGGCCTCTGGAGGGCTTCAGAGCAAACATTGGCACCCCAGTGTTTGGGGGACTTAAGTGGAGGGAGAGTGTGTGGAGAATGTGAGAAGGAGCATGGTGACTGGGGCTGATGTCCCAGGAGGAGCATGGGAACAGGGGCTGGGGGGTGGGGGGTGGCACATGAATTTGGGGCGGAGCTGGGGGGGTGAAGGGCGTATGCTCATGGTCTTGGGGATTGGGTTCCAAGGCCCGATCAGTGGTCTGGGAGCTGAGGTGCCGCTGTGTGAACACACACTCAGACACTGTGGTGCTTGTGCTTTTCTTGAAATGCGTAACAGGAAAGGAATTTCAGCAGCACACTAGGCTCAGGATCCCGAGGCTGGAGGCTGTCGCTGCTGTGGGTGAGGCGCCGTTGGTATGCAAGCCAAAACAAAGGCGCACGCAGTTGAAGAGAAGTGCCAGGTTCTTCGATTGGATCGGGGGTTGGAGGCTCGGGAAGAAATGGTGCCAGTGTGTGGGATCCTGGCCGTCCAGCCCGGGCAGTGGGGTACATAGTTCCCCTCTGCAGTCACTCCCGTGGACGTTGCTGAGTTGTCAGGCACCCCCTTTGCCCCTCTCCTCGGGGGCTTTCCGGCCTCATGGTGACGCAGCAGCCTGGCAGGTGTGGTGCCCTCCGTCTGAGGCTGCCAGGCAGATGACGAGAGGTACTGAGAGTCTGCTATGGGCAGCTTCTCTGTCTCTGCAGTGGTGGCAGGGAGCCTGCCATGAGGCCTTGAGCAGCTCATTGTGAACCGGTTTTACTCTTCACCAGCCGCTCCCCAAGCACTTGGCAGCTTGATGGGGTTGACTCTGCCCTCTGCAGGGCAGCCTGTCACTTGGGGCACCTCCAGCTGCAGGGGACAGATGTGCCGTGAATCTCTCTGGGCGGCGTGGTGGGGCTTATTGATGCCTTCACTGCATAGTGAGGAGGAGACAAGCCCCAGGGTTGCACAGGGCGCTTTCTCTCTCCCTGTGTCTCCATGTCGGTGTGTTTCGTGCTGATGTTGGTCATGGCCAAGAGTCTGAAGGTCTCATCCTGGCACGCAGGCACGTCCCAGGCAGGGGCAGGGGACAGAGGAAGTGGTTTTCTCTTCGTGGGCTTTCTCCTTTCTGTAGGGCTGGAAGGCGTTCCTAGCTGCAAGGGAAGCTGGGAAGGTGTTGTTGGGCCCAGCAGGAAGCAGCGAGAGAGGCTGGGAATGGAGATAAACTCCCAGAGGAGCGACTTCTGCTGCAGGCAGGTACCCCCAGGATCCCCTGAGTAGGTGAAGGAGTTGAGGACCCAGGAGATGTGAAATGACTTGCTGGGGTCTCGTGGAGCAAGGCAGGGATTTGTGTGTTTGTTTTGGGGTTTTTTTTTTTTTTTAGCTTTTTGGGTTTCACCAGACAATGCTTAAGGGTTATTTAAGGCTCTACACTAAGGAATTACTCCTGGTGGTGCTCAGGGGACCATATGGGATGCTGGGAATCGAATCTGGGTTGGCTGCATGCAAGGCAAACGCCCTACCCGCTGTGCTGTCGCTCTAGTCCCAAGGCAGGGATTTGAACCCTCTTCTCTCCTCTTGCAGAGCCTGCAATACTAACCCCCCACATGGTGCTGCCCAGCAGAGCCCCCCCAGGCTGCCCTAAGCAGTGATGAGCGGCAGCCTTCCCTAAGTGCTGCGGGAACACAGGGAGAGATTGTGCTCGAGTGCGGGAGATAACATGCATGTGGAGTATCAGCAGTGACCGGGCTGCCCTCCGATAGGTGAGTAGATCTGCTGCTGGGGCACCAGGAAATGACGGAGAAAGATGGTGGGCCCCGTGCTGAGGGCTCAGGAGACCAAAAGAGGGGCCCAGCATGCTCTGGGTGGGTCCATCAAGGCTCCTTTGGCAAGAAGATGAATCTGTCTCATGTCACTGGGCAGTCCAGTGGACATCTGGCCAGAGAAAGTGTTGGGGCGCTCTCTCTCCCTCTGCTTGTCTTCAGTGAGTGAGCAGGTCGGACCCAGGTGCGAATCCTCCTGATTCCTCAGCAAGAGGGTGTCTCATCCACTGTGTCTTACGTCTGCCCCACGGAATGATTCTAACAGGGTGTGTCATTGTATTCTTGGGCTGTAATCAAAACCACACACACAAGTAGCTTCATAGCAGCAGAACTTTCTTTCCCTTTGTCCTGGGACCTGGAAGGTTCAAGGTCAAGACCCCAGCTAATTCACTTTCTGAGGAAACAAGCTCTTGGCAACTCCTTCCTGAGGGCATGGATCCCACTCGACAGGGCCCCCCCTGCTGCCCTGATCATGTCCCAGAGGCCCAATTTTTATACCATCCCATTGGAAATGGGGTTTCACCATATCCACTTTGGGGGACACGGACACTGATTACAGAAGGTGATGGTCAGTGGCTGTCTCTCAGGGTGCCATAACGGCTGGCCACAGTGAGGCTCAGTCTTGGCAGGGTGATGGCGCAGCCGCATAGAGAGGAGCATTTGCCAGGGGTCGGCAGAGAAGCCAGGCGCACAGCACAGATCCTCCTGTATGCCTGTGCAGCCTACCAGCTGCCGTGCCACGGTTTCCCAGCGGGACCGATACAGTCCTTCTGCATGCACATGATATGAGCCCAGACACTCCCTTATATTGCTTTTGAATCTGTTCTGTTGGAACTTAGTGTTTAGCCCTAGCACTGAAGGACCAGGCAGCCTTGGAAAAATAGTTCTGCCCCTCTGTTCACACTTCAGTACCAGGAAGAAAAATGCTTAGCACATGGAAAGATCAATCTGAAATGGCGTTTTTGGGTTGGAGGGTTTTGGGTTTTTTTTTTTTTTTTTTTTTTTTTTTGCGGGTGGGGGGTGCATTTATGGAAAAACTGAATCAGAGGAGATGCCCAGGTTACTGAATCTTTTTAAATTTGTAATTTCAGTAGGCCCTCCTAAAAAGGCATTGTTCCACCAGTAGAAGCTGAGATGACTTATTTCCTTGCTCCCTAGTGAATCCTGAAGTCTTACTCTCTAGGAAAAAATTCACTTGTCTTGATGAGAAATGAAACCAGCCTAATATTAGTGAAGCATGTGAAGGTGAAATGACAGGATGTCTGGGATTTACTTTAAAATACTTCAGCAAGAGAGAAAGGGGGGAGTACAGAAACAGATGTGGACTAGATGGGGCTAATAGGGTAGAATTTTGATTGATGTTGAACCTGGGTCTGAGTCCATGAAGTTTATTATAGTTTGTTTAAAAAGCAAATTAAATAGCCCTTCCCACCTTCTCTCTCGAACGCACCTGCTCTTGCTCTTTTGCTCTCTCTTTCTTGCTCTTTCAAATATTTTTTGGGGGGGGTAGGTGGGGAAACGGGACACTTGGCAGTGCTCAAGAATTACTCCTGGCCCTGTGCTCAACGATCACTCCTGGTGGGCTCAGGGGACCATATGAGTTGCCAGGGATCACACCCAGGATACTAACCCTCTGTCCCCCAAATCCAGATGGGGGGTCAATGACAGTGCAGTGGCCCTGGGTTTCCCTTCCTCTTCACTCCAGGGACCCAGTAGAAGAATGGAGACTTGCAGGCCTCAAAGCAACAATTTCTCATCTCCTTCCCGGATAGGACTCATTTTTCCTTCCCTTCCTGCTTTGGAGGGGAGCTGACTTCCTTATGGCTAATTCCCGGGAAACATTTCCTGGTGGTGGGTCTGCTGTGCCGCGAGGAGGAGGGAGCTGTTTCTCCCCTGGGAGCCGAGCTGGGTGGTGATGGCAGAAACATAACTGAGTAGTGATTCACAGTGACTGTGCGGGCTCCAGCCCTCTGCTCCTCCAGCATGAGAACCGGCCTTGACCTTTCCTGTCAAGCCCCCAGGCCCCTGCAGCCTTGGCTCCAGACACCCCTGTGTGTTTGCTGATGTCTACTCTAGTGCTTTCTGCACCCCCGCCCCGGCCCTTGGGGAGGGGCCTTCACCTCCCATCTGGCACTGGATGAGGGTGACCCACCCAGGAACCGACTGCTGGCCCTTCCAGAAAGGTCATCGTTGAAGAATGTTCCTTCGGCAGCCCACAGAGCCCCCATGTGTGCATGCGGTCGGCCATAGCTTCCGGCCGTCTCACTTTTGCTGAATTCCAGCAATTTCTCATTTCCTTTGGGAAACAAAATGAGTCGGAGCGAAGTGTGAATAATGATGACAGACTTGGCAGTAGGACCTTGGACATTGGAAACCTTGTCCTGAGGCTCCTCTTTGGTGCCCCTGCCACCGGGAGTTGTTGGTGCAGTGTGGGCCAGAGGAAAGAGGACACAGCAGGCAGATGGCCTGGGTTCCAGTGCCACTGCCTCCACCTAGCACTCAGGTGGCCCCAGAAAAGTCACTTAGCCTCCCTGCTTCAGTTTCCTCATCTGTAAAACAAGAGCCTCTGCCTTGTAAGGGAAATAAGATGCTCTTCGGAAAAATGTGCCAAACAGCCTCTTGGATCTGGTTGCCCAGTTATGCTGATCTTGGTGGTTCTCATCTCCTGCTGTAGTGAACGTGCAGTGAGGATTGACACCTGCTGGTCTGCACAGGAGCAGAAATTAGAGAAGTTAGAAACCATCCTTCCTCCCGGATACTCTGCAGTTGTGGGCACTAGGCTTAATGTTGCCATTGGCACATTATGTTCACCTGGTGTTTCATACACCTTAGAACAGAGCAGGTGAGACTGTCCAGACACCCCTGTGTGTTTGCTGGTGCCTACTCTAGTGCTTTCTGCACCCCCACCCTGGCTTCTGCTTCTTTTACCATACACTGTCCTTAGAGGAAGAGGCTGGGAGGGCCTGGGCCGACTGCATCTACACAGAGCTGCTCTTGTAGTGGGGAAATTATGGGTAGTCTGGGGCTAGAGCGATAGCACAGCGGGTAGGGTGTTTGCCTTGCACGCAGCCAACATGGCCCACCCGGGTTCGATTCCCAGCATCCCATATGGTCCCCCGAGCACCGCCAGGAGTAATTTTTGTGTGCATGAGCCAGGAGTAACCGCTGAGCATCGCCGGGTGTGACCCAAAAAGCAAAAGAAAAAAAGAAAAAAAGAAATTATGGGTAGTCTTCTTTGCCTTTTTTTTCTTTTAATGTGAGTATAAGAGATAAACCTATATCCCCTTCCAATACAAGGAATCCTTACAAATAGGGACTGTAGCGATAGCACAGAGGGTAGGGCATTTGCCTTGTAGGTGGCTGACCTGGGTTCGATTCCCAGCATCCTATATGGTCCCCTGAGCACCTTCAGGAGTAATTCCTGAGTGCAGAGCCAGGAGTAACCCCTGTGCATCGCAGGTGTGACCCAAAAAGTTAAAAAAAAAAAAAAAAGAATCCTTAGAAATAAAGAAAGGTGAGCTGTGGCTTCTGGCCAGGTCTGGGGAGTGGGGGGACTCCCAGAATGCCCCTATGTGCAGATGTCTGTAGAGCCTGGGAAGCCCTGTTCCTGGCCCGCCTGGGGGAGGGGGTGGAGTGAGCGGGTGGTGTCCTAGAGCCCTGAACATCAGCTTCTGCTCACAAACTTCTGGATATCAGAACCGTGTTTTTGCCATCTGCCCTACCACCCACCTAGCCTTGTTCTAGAACAGGGCTGGAGAAACCTTTTATTCTGCCACGGGCCATGTGGACATTTGTAACATCATTCCCTGGCCATATAGTAGGACAGGGATAGGACAGGGAGAGAGGCAGAAAAGCTGTTGAGTAGCCTGTGTTGTCCCTTCATGTCCCAGGACCAGACCACTGTCTCCCGCCCTCCCCTTGAAATGAAAGAACTCGGTTCCTGCTTGACCTGACTTTGAGAAGGAGCCTCATTTTTAAGATGGGGCCGGCGGGACAACCTCATGTACATAACGGATGCTTATATGTTGACTTCTGTTAGAGCCTCAAAGAGTTGACTCCTTTACTCCGGAAACTGCGACTGTTTGACTGCCGGCCTGATCTGGGCCAGGGCCCGGCAAGCAGAGCAGACACAGCTTGCCTCACCCCAGGGAAGAGACCCTTGAGGCACTTGGCTCGTGTTCGACGTGTTCGGGTGAAGGGCGCGGTGTTCTGAGCGGTAGATCCGGGCTTCCCAGAGGCTCCCCAAGGAAGTGAGGTTTCAGTAACATCATCCTGGTGCTGCTGGAAAAAGTGAGTGTGGGGTGCATCTCCAGATAAGCCGCGCTTCCGAATGCTTCCAGCTGTGGGCAGGGAGCTCCAGATGGGCGTTGCTATGGAAGCATCTTCCAGTTCCCACTTCCTGGCGGAGTTTATTTCCCAGCTTCCCGTGCCCGTGCCAGTTCCCAGCTGTAAATACAGACATGGTGGGGTCTCTTCTTCCTGCGGGGGCCCCCTCCAAGCCATGTGGAGAGAGCGGATGTGGCTGGCAGCCAGCCCGGGAGCCTCCTCCCGCCCAAGTGGGATGTGGCCCCTGCTGGGTCCGGGTTTCTTTCCCTGCCTGGCTCTTTCTTTTGTCCCACCCTGGGACTGGGCCAGTGAAACTTGAGACCCCAGCCAGTACTGGAAGAAATGCGCTCAGGAGGACTTCCTCCACCACCCAGCTCCCCCACAAACTCAGTATCTTTCATTCAGGTCCATGCTGTGCCGGGAACTGGGCTGCCTGTTCTCAGGGACAGTTTGTGAGGAGAGGCTACACTGATGGGGGAGACGGGGCCAACACCCATCTAGGCACCTCCTGTGCTTTAGAATAATCGTGGCTGGTGTGTGGAGAACTTACAAAATGCTTGACAGTTGCGTACTTTTTCTTCCTTCTAATAGTGTGTTTGTGGCTCTTCTCGCCC